ATTCCTGCCCAAAAATAGCCCTGGTACCGTCTACTCTGGCTGGCAGTGGGTCTCTAGGGACTCAGGCAGAGGTTGTTCACATCACCTACAACCGGATCCTTTAAGGTGGGAAGCCATCTTGGGTCTGCAGTAGATAAGCAAGATTCGAGACCAATAATGCCTGAGAGCAACAGAGTTTTTTGAAGCATAAACTTTTTTGAGAATCAAAGCTTTATATCTAACAAACTCTGACTATTGAAAGCTTATACCCTGGGAAGCCTGCTGGGTCTCTTAAGATGAACCTGATCTTTTTAACTGGAGCTGCTGGGGATTGAACCTGGGACTGTTTGAACGCCAAGCAGATGCCTGGCCACTGAACCGCAGCCCTTTCCCCACCCCAGCTAGATGCTACCCTACATGTGTGTCTGTCACTAAGTGATAATCACATATTTAGTTCCTTTTCTCCTATCTGTGTCATGCTACCTCACATCTCCCCGCTCAGAGACAGCAGGAAATTATGTAGAAAGGGCGCAGGGAAAGATAGGAGTCCAGCACAGCATAACAAGAGGCAAGTTCATCTAAATCAGGGGTGTCAAACTTGTGGCCTGGGGGCTGCTTCAGGCCCCCGGAGGGCTTCTACCAGCCCCACAGTGGAACTGGCTGTCTTCTGCTTCTTCTTCCAGTTCTGCTGCTGCTGCATCATTGTAGGTTTGTAGCTTACAGATACACACCTGAACAGCATACTCAGGATTGCAACAGCAGACATTTTGATGCAATAATTCAGAGCAAGAGGTGTCAGTTATCAGACACTGTTAAATAAACAAAATATTGCAAGCGTGCTAATGTTTTAAGCATTTTTTAAAAAAAATTTAAAAACCCTTTGTGTTTGTGTCCTCTATAAAGTTTATATCTCTGCTATCTGGCATGACATTTTATGACACACATGGCCCGGCCCAACAAAATCTCATTTATGTCAGATCCAGCCCCCATAACAAATAAGTTCGACACCCCTGATCTAGATGTTATGGAGAAGAGAGCAGTGCAGTTGCTTTAAAAAAAATACTAGCCACACTTCTGCTGCATGTTGGGTTTAATGTCTGGTTTGGACATCCCCACCTCCCGGGGCAATAAATAATGTGTTATGAACACCTTTCTGTCAAATTCAGACTGTGCTTCCAGTTCCCCTGGCTCAGACACACATCTCAAATAGATGAGAGAATCTAAACCAGGTCTCCTATAGTGCAGTGCATTGCATTACACTGAACTAAATCAATGGGTCAATTCCAAACTGGATCAACAGCAACCTTCATTGCATTTAAGAGGATTCAATTCTATCTTACACACCTGCCAAATACAGTTTTAGTGACAAAGGAACTGACAAACTGAATCTCTTCACAGAAATGTCCACAAATGGTAGCTTCTTTCTACCTATATTAACCATTGCTCTGCTGAAGAACGAGGGCATATCTATTCTTCCCAGTATAGCTTACCAATGCAGGAGAATTCATGAGGATACTGCAATGCATCCCCATTAAGGTACAGAAAAGCAACAGCCGTTCAACCGCAGCTACATTTTAAATTTTATTTTAAGGAAACTCTGCAGTGT